TACAGCCTGACAAGGGACCAAGGCATCACTACCTGGAGGGAATCAGTTAAATCATTTGAAGATGGCTCTTCTGCTCTGAAGGGAAGTTGGAGCTGACTGCTTGAGAGTTCTCACTCCCCAGGTGGCAAGGGTTAGTGTTGTTGAAGAAATGACAGATTTTACCCTCAGGGTGGGTAGACTAGATTGGAAAATACACAGGAGGAGAGCTTGTCAAGGTAATTCAGGGAGCAGATCTGATGCTTTCTAAAGGGGATTCTCACCAGCTCCCTAGATTGAATCATAAATGCTTATGTTTTATAGACTTATACAACTGTGCAGAAGACAAAGAACAAGAAGCAAAAATTATATATATATTTATATTTAGAAAGATAGAGTGAGAGAGCTAAAGAGAGAGAGGAATAGTAGAAGATGTGAAAGGAAAAATATCTGGAAGGGCATGAAACTTTAGGGATCGTGAGCTCATTATTTGTTGAGATGACAATGACATTCTCATTTGAGGAGCAAGTTCTTGGGGGAATAGAGATTTTTTTTTTAAGACTGTGCTTTAAGGGTGATTGACTAATGGAGTGAGAATATTATATTGCATCAAGTTTCCACAATTACAGGGAGTAGATTTAGTGTCAAACAGTGGAAAAATCATGGTTTTGTCGCTGGACTGACTCAGTGCTGGTTAGATGAATATTAAAGGGTTCATTCATAAAAGGATACCCTGGGTGCATGCATTGAGGTGTTATAGTGAATCTTATTAGCATATACAATTGGTGTGCAATAATAAAACTTCAATAATAAAACTTAAAAGAGACACCTTGAAAAAAGGATTCATGGCAGTATATGCATTTGTAAGGATGGTGGAGAGGGATAAGTAGGTGCAGAAGAATTTCCACAAAACTAGGCTGCCATTTCTGTTTAAACGGTCACTGTTTAATAACCCTTGAGGAGCTCAGCATGAACTGGTTTCTAGATGTCTAATTTATAGTTTTCTTACAAATGTCTGATCATCCTGACTTCCTCACCATTACTTGGATTCCTTCAAACTGATCACTTATGCACATTTTCTACTGATTGAATTTTATATTGTATTATATTATGTTATAATATAGTTCTCAACTCTTCTAGGTTAGCATATTACTCTATAACACGAAAAATTTACATTAACCACATCTGCTTGCTTACATAACCATATATATATAACTACATTCGGCTTAAAAAATAAATAGGTATGACAAAAATTAATGAGCCAACATGAAATAACATTGATGGTTCACTCTGTCTTTCAGACCTTTTATTGAACTGCTTTACATAGGCATACATTTATATGCATACAGGCACTAATTTTCAACATATATGTTTTACATATAGACAATATGTATATTTAAATATATATGTATATGTGAAAATATATATGTGAAAATATATATGTGAAAATATATATAATTTTATGTATATATGTGAAAATATAGAACTAATTCTTTAAGCTTCAAAGGTCTCATCCAATAGGATTGTTGGCAACTCTGTGCTGCAAGAGAAGAAAATAAAAGAATTCTAATCATTTTTCTGAGTATAAAGGATTAAAAAAAAAAAAAGTAACAGAGACACAGTTTGAACCCAGAAAGCCTGACTGCTTCACACTCCTGTCCACTCCTGCTATAAAGTATTCTCACCTGGGTTAGGAGTGTAGCAAGCAGCTATTGTACCCACAAATTACATTTTCATCAAAATGTTTGTTAACACAGGTGTCTCTATGTTTCCAGATCATGGGCTTTTGGGTATAAGCACTGTGCTCTATTAATCTTGACCTGTTCAATGTTCACAGAAGTATAAGCTACTCCCAATTACACACTGTTTCCAGAGATACTTGAGTCAAAGAGATTTTCATCAAAAAGTAATAGATTTTGATCCACAAAATATTTTAGATACAAAAAAAAATGACGTTTTTCAACCCATAAGATAGATATGTTTTTTTTTCCTCCTTGAATATTTTAAAAATGGAATAGAGTGAATGAAGTGAGCCATTCTTGATTGACACGTGGCACTTTTCGGATTACACTTGTTGAAATTCTTTTCTTTTCAATGCTTTCCCCCCCCACAGGGTGCTGCTTTAATTAGAATGCTGGCTAATTTTATGGGCCATTCGGTTTTTCAGAGGGGTTTGCAAGTAAGTAAAACACTTTCTATTTTTCTCTTCTCTTTTTCTTGTTATTATATTTATTTTAAGTATATTTCATGCTTTGGGAAATTTCTAATACAAAATTACTATTATGATAGAAAAATTTAGGATGTTTAAGGCAGGACTTTGTCCTTCAGTATGACAAAAAGAAGTTGTCAAGGGATATTCAGTGTATCCTCAGCGCAAACTCAAACTAGTATACAATTTGGAGGTGTTTAACTGGCATTCACAAACTGAACTAAGTTTTACACATGTCATATCCTGAATAATTTACACAAGAGCTTCAGAAAACCTGCTATTATTTACTGTCATTGAGATGTTTAAGTAATATGAGAGCAAATTGTTAGCTTTACTAAAATTACGTAATTTAGAGCTTGCTTTTCAGTCATGTGCTGCCTACGTTGTTGTTTTGCTACTGACACATACAGGTGCTATTTGTCCCACTGAAAATAGAATACTTTTCTTTGAAAGTAAAGTGAATCACTTTAAAAGAAGGGAGATGATTATGTGGTTTTTGGTATGTTGTTATCTCTTAGAAATCTGTTATTGTCTAATGAGAGACGAAAAGTTAGTGGATCCTGGAACCAGGTGGGAGGAGAGGTTAGAAGGAACTGGGAGGAGTTTTGGAGTGGAAACTGTAATCAGGATATATTGTATGATAAAACCATCTATTTTCAATAAGGGGTGGGGTTGGACCAAAAGACAATTATTTGTACTGCATTTTGGGGTAGTAAGCATGGAGTTTAAGAATGGATTTGTAAAAACAAATTTATTAAAATATATAAAAAATATAATTATAGAAAACTGAAACTTTGATTCTGTTTAATCTGCTAGAGTAAATCACACTCCCAGCCACTGTGATTGATGCATTATTTATGATGCATTTTGCTACTTAGAAGTGTCCTTTAAAGTAAATTGATGTTCACCTGAAGTACAATTATGCTAAGACAGAGAGAACAATCAATCTTATCTGTTCCTAGTAAGCTTTTCATTTTGAAATTTAAATAAACTACAACTGGGATCAGGTCATATTTTTGTAGTATAATTCTATCTTTATCCAAAATAAGAGGGGATAAAATAGAAAGGCAAGAGTTAAATTTGATATGGCAAACTACGTATTTAATGTAACAAATTAAAAAGCATATAAATTTATTGAAGAATAATTTTCCTTATAAACTACTTTTACAGATTAGTTTTAGTCAGTATTGAAATTTACTTTAGTCAACGCTTTTCATTACGGAGGTCCACAGAATAGCTGAATCCATCAAATGTATTTGCTGAAGGATAAAGCTTCTGTTTGCTGAGAGGTGAAGGCTCCATTCTGATCACATAGCTGTGGAAACCTTTTTTTTTCCTTCACTTCAAGGAGTGCCCTCCATGAATATCAACTATCTGGAGGAATGTCTTACCTTATTCACACGGCTTTGTTTTCCCATATTGAATTTGTAATGTGACAATTTCAGAAAATATTTAAGTTTTCATAAAGGCAACATAAATTGAATTTGATTTTTCTGGTGGCAATCTGATATGCAATCATTTTCTGCATACAATTTTTATTATTTCTCTACTATTACCCATGTTCAACAGACTGAGTGACTACACTTATTTTGACAGAATGTTTTTGCAGAATTTTTTCCTTATCTTGTTGTATTTTCTATAGTATGTAAAATATATTATTTTGAGTATATCCTATATCCCAAGCCTGTTCAGTTTTATCTAAAATTGCTAAAAGAAATACCCATTAAAGTAAACTTTCATTTGAAGCTAGTGTTAACATGCCATTTTATGTTCCAATACTTGATCTGGTTAATTTTCAACCTCGGGACTCTGTGTTTGTCATCTGTGCATTTCATTTGCCTTGAGACATCTCATTGATCAGGTGGATCTGTATCCTTCAGTACTTGGCTTGCAGCTTCATTTATAGTTATCACTCAAACTGATTTAGTGTATCATCAGCAGTTTGGATTAGTTTACAGTAGATCCTTCTGTCTTGGTGATAAATGATCATCTCTTGTGTACGGAGATGTATGGGGTACATTTTGGAGATGACCTCCTGAACAGACACTTCATGTCATGGTGCTGAGTAGTTTTCGAGTTCATATTAATATGCTTGCCATTTACAAGGCTCTGGGGAGTCTTACTTTACAACTTGTTGAAAGGCCTACTTTGGGATGTCAGCATTTACCTCTGAAGAAAATCTATTAATTGTTTTTACATTAACCATGGCTATTCTATCCTGACACATGAAAGTTTATTACTTGAAAACAGACTAGGTTTATATTTACAAGCTTGGGAAAACCCAAACTGCAATTGAGGTGTGTTTTCTCTTATTATTCTTCCTTCTTTCCCCCTTCCCTTTTCCATACTTTTTGCTTTGTTGTTTATCCTTGAGTGCTCATACAACACCCTCATGTTGTACTAAGAACAGTGCTGTGATAGCTGCTACTTTGTTACTTATTATCTAACAAAATTTGTGTTCTGCTGATACTTTTTTCTATATGTATGGACTATCCTAAGCTCTTTCTAGAAACAAAGCAAACATTATTTACAAATATGTTACATATAACTTATCTAGTGAGTTTCTGGGTCAGTTTATATATTCATTTTTTAATAAAATATCTGATTAGAGATGTTTTGTATATTGCACAGTATTTTGTGTGACAATATGTATTTTAAATTTCAAAATGAATATATCCCTCAGAAGGCAAGTGTTCTAGAACATTTTTGAGAAAACTTTTGTTCTTATTTGTTATATAACAGAGATAAGCTATCAGAAACCAAGGAGGAAATTCAATATTGAATAATAATGTCTAATATCAAAGAAATTCTCAATATTTTTGTACATCTCATTACTTTTGATTTTAGTTTAATGTTTAAATGGTTCAGTTTTCCATGTTCTTTAAAAATTATCTTAAACCTCTTGTAAATAAATTTTATTCATAAAATTAATTTATAATTTAGCTAGTAAGTCAGCTTTAAATTTTATGTTTGAAATGAAATCTGAACTTGCACAATGTACTTAGTTTAAGCTTTTCTGTTGTTGATTATACATACCATTCATAAATAATATATTTCAGGACACTGCAGTGATTATATTTTTGCAAGCTCTACATATCTACCGTTATATATAATCCATTACACAAAATGATAGCAGGCATTTTGTGGGAAGCTTGAGGCAATAGAATAAGCAGGGAGAAATAATTCTCATTTCTCTTTCTAATTAATGCTGAGCCTCTGACAAGCCATGAAATCTATCCTGGCCTCTAACCTACAGTTATAAAATGCAAAACTAAATTCTCCAAGATATTTTCCATCTTTCATAGTTTCTAAATATAGGATTTATTTAGGGCAGTTGATCATTTAGGCAACTGGTGTTAGATATTTTTAATTTGGAACAGCCATTTTAATTTGATGGGGGTGAATGATAAAATGCATGAGCAAAGGTGTCTTTTTATACTTGAACTAACAGCGTTCTGAATATTTGACTGGGTGGCCATTGGCCATCAATGCCTGTCGCAGTGCTATTGTATCAAACCATATGAACATCTGCTTAAATTGCAGCTTTTGTTAATAATAATCTGTTTTATCAGTGTATGTTGTCTTGGGGTTTAAGCTTCAAATTTATTGTTTTGCATTGCTTCAGATATGTAATATTTTTGTGGTTGATCTGTTGTTATCATCCATGATATTTGGTGAGGCCTTTTGAAAACTCTTTATGGTTTTCATAGCATATGTTACGATTTCTAAAACCAAATTTTCTAGGCGTACTCTTTAAGAGTGGAAGTGACTTTGTTTATAAGTCTGAAGGTGTCCTGGAGGTTGGCTTTAAAGAGAATTTTCCTGGTAAAGGGAACAGTGGCTGTCTCTGACATGAACTCAGTGGCTTGCTCTTTGATCGCATGCTCCTGAGGGAGGAGTAGCCTGAGGGGAGGAGAAGAGGAAGAAAAGGTGGGATTGGGAGGATATGAGGGAGGGGCTACAGCTGGCATACAAAATTAATAAATTGTAACTAATAAAAAAATTAATTGAGAAAAAGAGAATTCTATTCCTCTTGTTAGTTATCATTATAGGGAATTCCAACAAGGGAGGGCTTTCTCTCCTGAACAGTGGAGCTGTTTCTGATACTAAGCAGAGCTAGGTGAATTTATACCCTGAAAGACACTATTCTAATTCTTGCCATTTGTTTTCCCATCTATACCCATTCTTCACACAAACACAGTAAAAAGAGTGACTTGACTGGAGTTGAAACATTTCAGGTTAAAATTTTATACTTCAGTCTGTTCTGGTTTTCACAAAAGTTGCTTCTAAGACTTTAAAATCTCCAACTCTCTCTCTCTTTTGCTTAAATATTTTTTATTTTTAAATTGTTAAGATTTTTTTAATTTTTAAATTTAATTTTTTTATATTAATTACAGTTTATTTATTTTGTATCCCAGCTGTTGTCCCCTTCCTCTTTCCCTCCCAATACTGCCCTCCCTCCTTCTTCTCTTCCCATGCCCCTATCCAAGTCCACTGATAAGGGAGGTCTTCCTCCCATTCCATCTGACCATAGCTTATCAGGTCTCATCAGGACTGGCAGCATTGTCTTCCTCTATGGACTGGTAAGACTCCTCTCCCCTCAGGGGGAGGTGATTAAAGAGCCAGCCACTGAGTTCATGTCAGAGACAGTCCCTGTTCCCCTTTCTAGGAAACCCACTTGGAGATTGAGCTGCCATGGACTACATCTGTGCAGGGGTTCTAGGTTATCTTCATGCATGGTCCTTGGAGTATCAGTCTCACAAAAGACCCCTGGGCCCAGATTTCTTGGTTCTGTTGCTCTCCTTGTGGAGCTCCTGTTCCCTCCAGGTCTTTCTATTTCCCCCTTCTTTTATAAGATTCCCTATTCAATTCCTATCCAGAAAGGCAAAGAGGATGGACATCAGAAGAAGGAGAAAAGAGGGAACAAGTCAGGAGCCTGACACAGAGGACCTCTGAAAAGCTCTGCCCTG